AGGAATTTAAAATTATCTTAATTTTAAATATCCTTCTCAACTTAGTATTTTAAATGATGATTTTGAATATATATATTTATGCAATTCTAAATAATTCTATGCACACAAGGCAACAATTATTCCCATGCATAAATAAACAAATAAATAATTAATGCCATAAATAAATATCCACTATTATGGCCAATTAAATATTTATACTCCTTGGATTAGGATCTCTTTCCTAAACCAACTAGAACTTCCACTGCAGTAGAATGCCTATTGACTTGTACTGCAAGTTCCACAAAACCTCCACCAGTAGAAGCTGCGGCCGTGCCGACCAGCCTCGGCTCCCGGCTCCGGTTTCTTCCTTGCTTTGTCGAGTCTCTTTGGATCTTTGCGAAGGTCCGGTCTCCAACAGTCGATCACAATACGAAAAATATAATTTACAAAATTACATAAATCGATTCCTAGATCCAACAAGTGGATGTACATGCCTTCTACTAATTAATTAAACTATCCGGTCAACCCCCGGGCAATTAATACAAGCATTCATCCATAATTCCTCGACAATCCCGAGGCTTTAAAAACAAATTTAAAACCATACAACCAACCATCAATTAAGCACAAGCACATAAAAGGGTGGCCATAATAGTGGATTAACTATTTCCTGCAAAACCAAGTTATGCATATAATCCAATATATATGGCTGCGCTTGAGCACACATAGACAATTAAGCAGTTTAATCCGGATCTTGTACATAACGGATTAACCTCAAGCTCTGATACCAATTGTTGGAACCCATGAGGATCTCGATATGCACAAATCGCAGACAAACATTCAACATAAACCTATGCGCAACAGATCTAAAGGTTTGATGAAGAAAACTTACTGCTTAAAATTTATGTAGATCTGGCTGGCCCGGACAGTTGACCGCAAATCAATCTTCTCGGAATCGGACAAACTTGACCAATCCGGAAAGCTGACGTCACGGCGAAGTCAACGGCGTTGACCGATCAAAAATCGGACTTCTCACGCGCTCTCACGCGCGATCACATGCTCCAGCAGCAGGCTCCTCCCGGCGGCGCGTGTGGGCGCGTGCGGCGGTGATCTCGACGGCGATCTCTTCGTCTCGTCGTCCTGGTCGTCGTGGTATGGTCACTTGCTGGTTTTGGTCTCCGGTTTGGATGTATGATTGGAATCTCTATATACCTTAAGATCTTCTACTGTATTCTCAAACAGCTTTCTAGATCTTGTATCAGTGGAGCACAAGAAATAGAAGAACTCATTGGAAGAGAGAGAGAGAGACAGAGGGCGGCGTGATTCCCAAGGATGTGGGATTGTTCTGTTCTCTTCCATGAGCCTAATGCTGTATATATAGAGCTACAA